CATCCTCATCCTCACCCTCACCCAATGGGACCTCAACCCCATCCTCACCCTCACCCAATGGGACCTCAACCCCATCCTCACCCTCACCCACTGGGTTGTCACTCACTCCCTCCCCCAACCACCCGGATCTCATTGCCCCTACACCACTGTCCCCCCCCCCCCGCACGGGCTCTCACTCACTCCTCTCCCCCTGTCCCGCCCCCGCCCCCCAAACTGGGATCTCACTCACCCCTCTCCCCCCGCCCCGGATCTCACTCACTTCCACCACCCGCACCCCCCTGCCTCCGAAGTCCCTGAACTCGCCAACAGATCGCGGCGCCGGGGTCCCAGCGGGATCCTCCAATGAAACAAAGGGACGGCGGAGATCGGAAATTCAACCCAACAACTTCGGTTTTCACTTGGTCTCAATGGGATCTTCCCGTGCTGCCGGACTCTCTCCAAATCCCCTCTCCGCCCACTCCCTTTGCCCCTCTCCTACCTGCCAAGAGGGTGACTACAGCCCAGAGAGGGTACAACATTACTCCGGCTGCTCCTTCGTCCCCAGCCAGCCAGCAGAGTCGGAGCCAACCCCTTCCCTGAAACTCACTCACTCACTCACTCTCACACCTGGATAAGGGAACCGAGCCCAGGAGCGGGGGGGGGGGGGGGACCTGAACCTCCCTCAAACACAGACAGACCCCAGGCACTGAACTTACACCCCTCTAGCTGCCCCCTCCCACCCCTCAGAGTCTTAGATACCCCAGGCTGGGCCATCAGTCACTGAGGGGCAAGGGACTCCTTGTAAGGGGATCGCAATCTCAGTCCCCAACCCCCCCAGGACTGGGGCAATGGAAAGAGCCAGTAGGTTATTCCGGAAACTGCTCCTTACAAAAGCAGCCAGCACTGAAACTGAGAGGGAGGCGGGGAGAGGCACGTAAAGAGGTGGGGTTCACCTTCCTAATCCTATCCGTCCCCGCTTCTAATATACCCCAACTTTCGGTTGGGAAATTACCCTCTGATGTCAGGTAGGAGATCCAGGGGTAGCCAGGGTCTTGGGCTGGATTCACACAGTGAGCCCTTAGCAGAAACCTATAACACCCCTTCACCTGCTTTGAAATGTTCCTGGTCGTATCGCCTTCGGTGAAACATTAACTTCTGCTCAAAGTCCCACAGCCACTGAGCTATCATTAGTTCACAAGCAGCAGGATTTGCCCAGGCAGGGAGAAAAAGACAAACAGAGAGAGGGGCAAACACGAACAGAGTAAGAGACAAACACACACGCACACACAAATACTGACAGAAAGAAAGAGGCACACACACACAAAGAGAAAGAGAGAGAGAAAGAAACACAAACAGAGAAAAACAAACCAAGAGAGACAAGCAGGGAGAAAGAGACTGAGAGACAAATAGAAAGAGAGAGAGAGAGAAACAGAGAGACTAACAGAAAGAGGGAGATGGAGACAACAGATACAGAGGGAGAAAGACAAGCAACACAGTGACAAACAGACTGAGAGACAGATGGGGAGAGACAGAGGGAGACAGAGACAAACAGATGGGGAGAGAAAAAAGACAGAGGGAGACAGACACAAAGAGGGACAGGGACACAGAGAAAGACAGACAGGAGAAAAGACAAAGAGAGAGAGATGGGGAGAGTCAGAGAGAGAGAAACAGAAAGAGCAAGGGAGGCAGATACACACGCACACAGGACAGAGACAAACAGAGAGAGGGAAACAGACAC